GCCTTGAACTCGCTGCAGCCCAGGCTGACCCAGCCTCTGGAGTGCAGGGATTACAGGCATGCACTACCATGCTTGACCCAGAGCAATAATTTTATGGTTGATGTTCGCTAATGTCATATAAAATGTTAGACATTCTAAGTGTGGAAATTTTCAGAGTAGCTGGAAATGGTGGCACACCGTAATCCCAGCACTCTGGAGGCTGAGGTAGGAGGATTGAAGAAGAAAAATTCAAGATTAAACAGATTTTGTTCATAAAAAATTCTGCTTGGTGAAATCTCCATATTCAGGCAACACACTCATGTAGAAAGACTATAGCAGGCGTGGTTGTTATAGTAAAGTTGCTGATGAATTCCTTAATGCTAGAAATGGATTTTTTGCTTCTTGTCTTGCTTGGCCTGTAGATGTCATGCACACCTGTTAACCACAGCCCTTTCCTTTCAGCAGGTACTTTCACCCCTTCTGCTTTTTCACTCATGGATCACACTGTTGTCTACCTTTTGCTCCTTTTATCACGGAAGAACCGTATTTCCCAAGGATGCCCTTGAGCCCCATTTCCTTTCCATTCCCCACGTTCCCTTTGGGGAACATTAACAAGCCTCTGGTTTTAACTTCAGTCTGTGTGTTGTGGGTAACAGTCTGTACCCCCGCTCCCTGGCCATTTCCTCTTCTAGACCTGTGCATTCAGCCTCCTGCCAAATGCTTCCACTCCGATGTCTTGCCGTTACCTTTTCTCTTCTCCGCTGGCTTTTTTCAGCCCATTCTCAATCCAGCTTCCAGAAGAGTCTCCCAAAGCACCTCTGACTATATGAGGGCAGCCGTTACAGCAGAGCCCGCTCTGCCTGTTTTTAAGAAAATATCAACAAATTTGGAAATTCTGATGTTTTATAAAATAAAAGTGACATTGTCTAAAAAGCAAAACATCAAATTTTTCTCAGGACTTTGTCACGAGGAGGTCAAGGAGCCTCCATGTTACATAAGATTTCCATAGGTACTTCCCATGGCCTTGCGTAATGTGATCCGTAAAGCCACCTAACTGGGCACACACGGTGCCACAGATAGGCCCAGTTTGTTGAAAGTGGAAGGCTAAGTGAGGTGACCTGTGGGTGTGGCAGGCGCTGCCCTCCCCTCAGAACTGCTCTGCATTTTGACTTTTATCAAGAATCCCAGTGTCTGGGGATAAATATCAGTAAAGTTTACTTACAGGTTGTGGGAGAAAACCACAAATCGAAGATTTCATATTTTCTCCCCAACATGGTTTACAGTGTGCATCTGCCTTCACCCCCATCTTGAAGACCCCAGCTCTGAAATCCCATAGGCAGGAATAGATTTTTATTCTCGGGTACCTCCATGTCTGCCACTGTTGGCACTCAAGAAATGTCAAGTGACTGTTTTCACTGAAGGATCTTGAATTTCTTTTGGTGTCTTTAGTTGTTTTAATTTTAAAAGCACATCTTTGCTGGAAAAGCAAATTGTTAATTTTTAAAAGTAATGTTTTTTTTAACTTCATGTTCTTAACTGTGCTGGTAATATTCAAAGGTTATAGAAGCAGTCTTCATATGTCGCAGATAATAAAAACCATGGTTCTTAAAAAAAAAAAAACTTCCCATTCTTTTCCAGTCCTGAAACTCATGCATCTTTAAAAAGCCTGATAGTAGGAGATAAAGTCTGTCTTGTAGCCAAGAGGGTGGTGCAATCCTTGCTGTAGTTAAAAATCTCTTAAAATGCATTATATTTGCTAAATATAAGAGTGTAATGTTCTTGCCAGGTCACATCTGTCATCTGGTCCCTTTTTCTCCATTCTCTGACACTTGCCCCCTCCCTTTAACAATCACCAGTTTGGAGAAGAACAATTTCCATGTTATCTGCGCACTGCCCCTCCTCCAAGCTCCACATCAGTATCCCTGGAACTGTGGTGTCTTACTATTGTTTTAACATTTGGTCTCCTGCCTGGGGAGTGGGTGGTTCACTTTAAGCTACCCTACTCCAGTCTCCGCCGAGAAAGCAATATTTTGTTATGAGGTAAAGTTTCAAGCCAAGCTCCGGCTAGGGCCTTTCCCATGTGGGAATTGGAAAGCAGGAACAGCCAGTGAGATGATAATTCTCCTTGAATTTGAGCTCATTAAAATCTTCTCTTGTCCTTCGAGGGTTGTTTATTGATTTAAGCATCTAGCACTTTTCCTTTCCAGAAAGAATTAGCATCTCTGACGTGATCATGCCTGAGGGAGGAGGTTTTTGTCTTTTCTCTGTGGGATTAACTGTCCCCCAGTTGCTTATTACCCCAGCACACTTCAGAGTTATATGTAGGTACAAAATTGAGGGGCCAGAGTGAGAGTCCCAAGATTCATAGGTAATGAAAAGAACAGATTGTATCAAGGCACCGCGTTTGGAAACCAGAGTGTTATTAGGGAGCTTGTATGATTTGTGATCCTTGGTTTTTTTCCTAAAATGAACATTTCAGCATTGTTCATATGGACCTCCTTTTCTTAGATGTTTCATAGCTTGTTCTGATTTTTGTTGCTGTTGTGCATGAAAATCTAGCGAAATGGTGTTTTGTATCAGCTGATCAGCAGCAATCCTCTGGGGTTGAATTAATGGCAGTCATTTGTGTATGTAAATGAGAAAATACAGTTTTTAAACAGATGTTTAAATTTTACTTGCTGCCAGAACACTTTTTCCCCTAAATATAAAATCACCCAGAAGTCTAGCTGCTTTGCAGATCTATCTGTAGAGATCAGGTTTAGCTGGAATGAGCCAGATTGCTGGAGATATTAATTGCATACTCAGTGTAGTTTTTGGCCCTATATTATAAGAAAAGAACAGTTATTCATGCAGATGTTTTAGGATAGGGATTTCTTTTTTCAGAACGATTAATCCATAGATTCAGTGAAGGATCTATGGATTAATTGTGGCACAATTTCATTGTGTTTTTCCACTTTGGATGCTATATATGCTGAAAAGTGATAGTGTTTTTTTTTCTTATTTGAATGATCACATTGACCAAATATTTCCTGGGTGCTCCCTTTTAAAAGTTGACTTTGTTGGCCATATGAAAAGACATTTTAAGTTGTCATCCTGCTACTCCATCAGGGGAGCGTGGGGCTGTCTTTGATTGGGTTCTTTGTTCATAAAACAGGTTGTACTATCATGGGTCTCCTTCTGTGATTCCTAAAAGATATCGGTGAATGCATCCCCCAGCTCGTTGTTCACAACTGAGGTGCACAAGCTAGTCCGGTTTTCCTGAATATTCAGGCAGCAGCCTAACCAAGCTGAGAATGTAGAGTACATTTGTTTGCTGGATGGCCATGGGAGAAGTCAGTGGTGGTGATGTGGTAGAAGTGTTTTGGGGTTTAATCTTCTGCTCCTCCATTTGAACCTGCAGACTGCAGGCAGTTGGGGAGCAGTGAAATGGAGAAAGAGCTGGTTGTGTAAGAGTGCCTGGGAAGCATGAGGTCCTGAGTTCAATTCCTGATAAAAAGACTGAGTACACTGAGAAAAACAGGACATGCTACCGAGCTTCTTTTTTTTTTTCCTTCATTTTTATCGGTACCAGGGATCAAACTCACGATTGCCTGTTTGCAAGGCAGGTACTTATGCTGCTGAGCTAAATCCCTAGCCCCTACAGAGCTTCTTAAACTCCACGAGCTGCAGTTTCCTAGTCTACAAAATAGCATAGTACCAGGAGTCACCCCTGACTTAGGTAGTTGCCCCTGTTTTCTACATGGGTCTGACAATTCCTTGTGTGACTTTTCCTCTACTTGTGTGTCCCATTTGATATCATCTGTGGCTCGGCAATGCCTGGACAGGTGATCGTTTTTATTTTTATAAAATCACACTCAGCTTCTTATTCTGCTTCTAGAAGTAGCCAGGGATGCTCCTGCAGTGTGATAGGATCAAAATACAAGCAGAACAGACTGATGTGTTTTGCAGTAGTGGCTCCATTCTTACGTCTTTTTAAGGGGGGGAAAAATAAGCAGTTGGACAAAAGGTTAACCAAAGCCTCAAGGAAAATGAGTTTTTATTCTCCAGCTCCTGCCAGTCCTTCTAGGGTTATAGCAGAAGTTCCATATGGGTTTCATTTTAGTAGTATACAACCAAAGCCCATTTTCTCCTAGGCCACTTCATGAATCAAGATGTCTTTGCCATCTCTTGTGGCCATCAGTCAGGGACCCAATCCTTTTCTTTAAGTTATGCACTTAGTGGTGAAAATGTATACAGGTGCTAATTAAAAAAATATATGGCATGTGTTTAAGCAAAAAAAAAAAAAAGAAAATTATTACAGTAAAAGTCACATTGCCACCAATCCCCCCAAAACTAATCCCCTTTGCTTTCACTTGTCCCATTGCTCTTGTCACTTCCTGAAGCAGTTCTGAACGTCCTTCTTCATGAGTATCTTTCTGAGGTGACTAAAAATATGGTGAATGCTGCTGCATGCCATCCCGTGGAAAGGCATTATGAAAACTTTAGTGTGTCCTCATCTGCCACCTTATTCTCTGGATATAGCATGTGTGACTTCTGGCTCCTTCTCCAAAGTCAAAATGACCATGAAAGGTAGACATGTTGTATCAGTTTAGGACACTGAAGCATCAAAATAACAGCAACTAAAGAAACTCACAAAAGAAGACTTCCAGAACCACTTGAGAAAGTGGCAGGAAGACGGGATAAGGAAGTGTGTTTGAAGCAAGGGGGAATGTTTTCAGGGAAGTTAATGGCAATGTCTTTTATTGTAATAAAGTTTTAAATGTAAATATTTACCATGTATTTTGATCACATCTCATGTACCCTGAGGATATTTTTGAGGTTTCATTCTTTTCTTTCTAGGATATCTTAGTCATATTCCGTTTATTGTTATATATGCTTGAAAGGAGACAAGTGATTCCATCCATATCTTCAGTTTGGAACAAAACTCTAAATACGTGATATTCTGTTAGTTACATCAATAATTGGTCATGGCTTTTTGCTACAGATTAAAATGTGCATTTTTTTTTTCTTTTTCCCTTTAGCTTCATGAGGCTGACATTGTGATCTTAGGCTCACCTAAGCCAGAGGAGATTCCCCTTACGTGGATCCAGCCAGGAACCACTGTTCTCAACTGCTTCCATGACTTCCTGTCAGGTAAATGTCCTAACAACGTTGGGGAGGGGCACTGACTAAGGCAGGTGAGATTGTTAGAAGAAATGGTAGCCTTGGTCATTCCGAGCAGAGTGTGTTGAGGGCTGGATTTGATATGAGCATGTAGGACTGGAGACTTAGGCTGCTGGACTTAGCTTGGCAGAGGAGATTAGATGTCCTGGGGCAACTTGCCTCCCCGGCCTTGTTGAAGCATCCTTCTGGCCTCTACCACCTGACCGTTGAGGCAGTTGTAACCTAAAGGAGACAGGTTTGTGTAGAGTAAACCAGAAATACTTATTTTCACAGTCTTAAAACATGGTGGAGTTGTCTCATCTAGAGAAATCTTAGCTGAATCTCAGTGTGTAAAGCAGAGTTGCCGGAAGGGGTGGGATTGAAATTCAGCTTTGGATCTCCCATATTTCCCCTCACAATGACACCTGAAGTACTTCCTCAGGGCCCAAGGTCACCTCTGTGCACCATGCAAATCACCAGTGGAAACAACTGGTTTTAGGGTTGCTGTTGTCCGGTAGTATCTCTCCAAAGGATCCAGTAATGTCATGGACCATGACAGGCCCCCTACATAATCCCTGTATCACAGAGGGCGCTAGAGATAGCGCCAAAGGGAGGCCAAGGCGCCACTTTCCTGTTCTCTTTGGCTTTGACCTGCAAACCATTGTGGAGAAGACTGAGCTTGTCTCAGGGCGGGCAGCCTTTTGTCCCCACGCTGGGTGAAGGTGCACCGCGCAGAGAAGGCCTCTTCCTTTCACCTCCCCCAGGGCCACAGTCTGTGTGGTCTTGAACCTTTGAGGCAATCTCAGGACAGATTCAGCCACACCCGAAGGCTGGCCCTGACCCTCCCCCAGGGAAGCCTAGGAACATACTGTTTCCCAGCGAACCCCCAGAACTGGGAGCGTGGTGTGGGCTGGAAAGGGCCACTTGTCAGGTGTCAGACAAAGCAGAGGTGCAGTTACATGTGAATGTGGGTTCCATGACTCTTTTTAACAGAAATAGTGTTTGCCACATAACTTCTGTGAACTGTGTGACATTTCTACATAGAACTTAGATTTTTCTCCTGAAAAAGGGCTCTAAACTCTGAATGGTGGATGTGGCAGATTAGTATCTCATCGACGATTTCTCTGCTCAGAATCCTGGTGAGGTTAGGAAAGTCAGCTTGGGAATTCATTATGTCTTTTGCATGATTTTTTTTTTTTTTTTTGCCATATTTACCTTTTTTTAAACAAAGGTTTGAAAACCTACTTCAGTGTTCTCTTAAAATTTCTTTAAGCTCATTATTATGTGCAAATGACATATTTTATTTTAGTAAAATGGTCTTATTTCTAAGAATGTTTTCACTCTTGTTTTTGAAAAAGGTATTCCTGAAAATGTGAGGTTTCAGTGCCACAGTGCTCTTGGGAGGAGTGTAAAAGACAAAAATGTTGTATGTTCATTTAGTGATTCTATAAAGTAGACTAATTGTAGTTGACTTCTTGTAAATTCTGGTCCTATTATAGTAGTTTTCTTCACTTTTGAGTGCTCAGTCCCCACCTGGTAGTATTCAGTGAGTTTTGGGGCAGCCAGTATTTTACTTAGCCAGAATTATACTGGTAGTGTTTGAGTGCTGGCACATTGACAAATGTTCCCTGCAGCTGAGGGGGTGGCTCTTGGGACAAGATAAGGTGATAGCCCAGGAATTGTGCTTGAGAAACGATTACATTACCTGCTGAATCTTTTCATTTCACTGTGTCTGAGTTGAAGATGAAGAAATTATTTGTTTATTTATACTTTGGCGTTTCATTTTTGTTTTTTGAGACAAGTTCTCACTGTGTAGCTCAAACTGACCTTGAACTTACAACAGTTCTGCCTCAGCCACCCAAGTGCCGGGAGTATAGGGGTGACCACCACGCCCAACCAGAGTTGTAGATTTTAAAACAGGGAGATGTGAGTGTTCTCTAGCTAAAGGATTTACATTTTATTATTATTTTAGAAGTTATTTTAAATGAAGAAGTTTGCTGTGTTCTGGTAACAGCTTGCATGCTAAGGAGCAGAACTGACCCTAACTAAAACCATTTTCTACTTCACGTATCATTTCCCAAGTGCCGTTCATAATAGCATTACATTTCTAAGCAATCAAAGTTTTTATTTTATCAGCTTTGATTACTGGGAAAGTTTACCCTCTGCGTTAAGTTACAGAAAGGTTTTCTTCCTCTCTTTTCTTCATAATCTTGCCATTAAAAACAAATGAGTAGATTTTTGGAAATATTATTAAAAAGAGAAGTGCTTTTGTTTAAATTTAAGACCAGAAGAAGAATGCTTAATACACTTGTGGCCGTGTGCAGGCAGCGCTATGTAATGAAGTTTTCATCCTCACCGTGATGGTGAAGTCTCCCACCCCGTGAAAGGAGATGGGATGGGGCGGTGTAAGGTGAGGTCATCCGGCAGAGGCGCACTATTGAATACCTAATCTTTGGAGAGCCTCTCCTGATGGCTAATGTCCCAGAAGTTGTGCTTGGAAAACAATTACACCAAGCCTGCTGGGGCTGCACTTCCCACCATCGTCTGAGTTCAGCGTGTAGATTGCAAAGCGGGGAGATGGCAGCGCTGTTTTCTAGCTGGAAGAGTAGCAACATTTTTCTGTTGTTAAAAAATTATTTTACATGAAAGAAATGGGCTGTGATGTTGTAATTGCTTGCTTGCTAAAGAGCAGAATTTGCCCTAAGCAAGACCACTTTGTGCTCTGAAGATTTGGGGCCTGATGTATCACACAGGACAAAGAAGCTAGTCTTATGGTTCAGGTCCACAGAACAGCATCGAGATACTAAACCAGGTTTCTGAGTGGTTTACACCACCATTTTAAGTCAGCTTAGCTCTGTTAATTGTGGGATCGAGGGGGGTAAATGTCAGGCCACATTTGGGGCTCATGGTAATATATAAGGGGATCAGTGCTGGGGACTTTGGCAGTCCCCAACAGTGCCTCCAAAGGGAGACAGCTAATGTAGTGCTAAGGGCATGGATTTCACAGTTACGGTTACCCTGACTCAAAGAGAGGGGCCTGTTTTTGTTTTTTTTTTTCTCTAATTCTTAGTTGTATTTCACTTATAGGCTGTGTGATTTTGAGGAAATACTTAAAATCCCCAGTTTCGTGGTGAATGAAAGGAGAGAGGGAATGTTGGGAGAAGCAAATGAGATGATACCCCAGGCAACGCCTCTTTCCAGTAGTAGTAGCTCTCCAGAAACTGCTCCCCACCGCACCCTCATTGTTTCTCTGTCTCCGGTGCACAAGTAAGGTGACCCCATCACAGCAGAGTATATGGATGTACTCAAAAATCGTGCCCAAGGAAGGGAGAGGCCCAGGGAAACCCTGAAATTGGAAGAAGGCAGCTTTAGAAAACTTGGACTTTAATCATCTTCATGTGTTTTGAATAAAATAAGGATGTTTATGATTTTTTAATTTTAGTTATTCCAAAACCCATCATATTTTTATTAGCTTCTCTTTATTTCCCTAGAAATTCTGAGTGTTATATATGATTGGTCTTCCTTTTTTTTTTTCTCCCTTAGAAATTCTGATTCTTTTAATTAGGTCTCATCTATCTATTTATCTATGCATCCTCAATGCTGAGGATTAAACCAGAGACCTACAACAGGCTAGCAAGCCTTCTGCTCCCGAGCTATACCCATCTCTAACTTTTACTTTTATGCAGTTCTGTATTAATTGCTTTATAATTTGGATTTAGTGGTCCCAAAAGCATACAGGTGTAAGGTGGTAATGTTGTTACGATACATTTCTAAGGGTGATGTGCTTTTGTTTGATGGTGGGGCACAGATGATTTTAAACTAGAAGGGTAGCTCTACACTAAATGATTTATACTGAGTCCATTTATTGCATTTTACGTTCTTATGGTGCTTTTGGGACAGAATCTCATTATGTATTCCAGGCTGCCTCAAATCCATTAGGATTCTCCTGCTTCAGCCTCTTGAGTGCTGGGAGACAGGCGTGCACCACCACATCTGACTATTGAATGTTACTTTTTTCTCCTACAGAGTCAATATTAACTGAAAAACTAATCACTAATGTATTTTTTAAAAGTTTTATCTTCACTGGTTTCTAAACTTTTTTGTTCTTCCTGATTTTGTAACCTCACATTAAGTTTTTGGAGTAACTACCCTTCCTGGGGGGAAGAAGCATTTGGACGTTGGGTATGTGGGTCTTTTGCAGTAAGACGGCTGCCTTCCGCCAGCCTGCAGGAAAGCCCAGCCAGGTCAGGATAGCAGAGAGGCAGGAAGAGGAAGGAACGTGCCTCGGCCCCTCACAAGTCACTTACTCTTCTGGCAAATTTCCCAGGGTGGTCTCAGAACAGCTCGTGTCAGGGAACGGGCTTTCTGCCTTCCGGGACAGCATGATAGCCCATTAGCCTTAAATTTTCCTATTTCAGAAATTTTCATTATCATAGAAACATTTATAAATGAAAGGCTGACTTTTAAAGTGATTCATTGGCTGTCTCTGGAGGAGCCGAGAATTAAATTCCAGTACTTAGTGGGAAGTGAGAAGACCCATCTGCAGGTCGGCACAGGACTCACAGCGTGCTGGAGTCCAAGCCCAGACCTTGGACAGCCCCCAGGTGGGGCTGCCTCACGAGGGCCCTGGTGGTGAAGTAATGATTTCCTTTTCAAGTCCCTTTTGCCTTGAAATTTGCTAAGGATGAATGTGTTCCTGATTCACCGAGTTACCTGATTTACCAAGTTACTGCCTTATACTGTCTGGGTTCAGAAATTTTAATTTGGTTTCAAGATTGGAGGTTGAAGTAGGAGAATCCCAAGTTCAGTCAGGTTGGGCAACTCTTCCAAAAAAGAAAATAAATCTGGTAAAGTACAGAAAAAAATATATATATGTATATATGTGTATGTGCGTGTGTATAGATAGATGGGTAGATATTTAGAGACTGTGGGCTTTCGGATACGTGTTTAAGTTCTTGTTGTTTTTAGCAGAGCAGAAGTTAACTTTGCAGGTAGCAAAGCTTACCCTACATGCGTACAAATGAGAGGGCTGCAGAGGGAGCAGGCCTGGCCTCTGGTGGGCATCCTCTGCTGTCCACATCTTCTGATAGTTATTGATGGTGAGCTTTGAGCTCAGCCAGGGTCTTGGGGGAAGAGAAAGGTTTTCACAGCTTTTTTAGTGTTAGTCACAGGCTTCTGTATTTCCGGCTGCAGATTCCCGTGCGGTGGTCCCACCAGTCAGATCATACTTGCTGCTTTCTCGCATACACATCTCACCATTTTCTGGTCCATTCCCAGCAGCTTTTTACTACTCTGGATTAATTTTCTTTAAGTCACTTTGGGTTGAAAGGAGAGAGAGGCCTGCTCTTGAGCTGGAAGCCTTGCAAGAGTTTTTTTGTTGTCCATGCTTGCTCCTCACGTGGCCTATCCACATTTATTGAAATCACTTCTAGGGTGGTTTAAATGTCTGTATTCATACAGTGTTTCAAAACAGCGTACTTCTCCCTTTTGCTAAGCCCTGTGTTACACAAGTGGGTGTAATTCTAAGAAGAATTTACTATAACTGTGTGGGTGAAATAATCTTCAATCACATGGATGCTTGTGATTATATTTAAAATTGCTGTCAGCTCCTGGAATGTTGCTTTACTGTATTCCCCACCAGTTAAAGATGGAAGAATGACACCTATAATCCCAGCTAGTTAGAGGCTGCGGCAGGAAAATCACAAGTGCAATGCCAGCCTGAACAACTTAGTGAGACCCTGTCTCAAATTTTAAAAAATAAAAATCTAGCTCAGATTTTTAGCTGAGCTCAGTAGATCTAGCTCAGTATTCCCTGGGTCCAGTCCCTAATGCTGGGGGAAAAAAGAATAAAGAAGAAGGTTAAACATATATATTTTTTTCTGTAGTAGTTGGACAAGATTTTAAGATCAGATCTCTAGTGGTTAAAACAAAACAAAACAAATCTCTCTCATCCTCTGACTCTTGCCTTTTGCCTAGATATGATTTATAAAACTGAAGTGTTGTTAATCTTTAAACAGTACCTGAGGGGATATGACTTTCCAACACCCTTAGTACATTTGACAATAGAGCATCACAAAACACATACTCTTTAAGTGTTTTGTGTGTTTTCTTGCAAAGGACTGTCAGCAACATGTATAATTTAGAGTAGCATGATCCAAAGAAAGAAAAAAATATTCTTTCTTAATTCAAAAAAGTTGCTGTTAGAAACATTGCCTTCCCTTAAGGAAGGATATAAGTGAAAGTGTTTTGCGTGTATGTTTACTTTTTATAAATTTTACAAGTGCTAACTGGAGGAAGGAAAAGTAGGATTACTATCGGTGTGTTTCTATTTTGAAGACCAGATGTGCTCCCTTTTTGTTACTCTGAAAAAATACCGGAGAGAATCAACTTAAAAGGAGGAAAGCTTTATTTTGGCTCTTGATTTTAGAGAGTCGGTTCATGGTTGCTTGACCCTGTTTCTTTGGGCCTGTGACAGCATAGTACAACATGTTTCAGTCATACAGTGGAGGAGACCGTTCATGACACCCGGAAAGCAAAGAGGTGGGGTCCCCATATCCTACTCAAGGGCATATTCCTTCCACCCAGTGCCCTGACTTCTCCCAGGCTCGCCCTCTTGAAGGTTCTTCCATCTCCCAACAGTGCCACAAACTGGCACCCACGCCTCTTACAAGTGAGCTATGGGGAACTTTCAGGATATAAGCATAAAGTTCACATCCTAAAATGTAATTTCTTGGTTTCAGTGGGAAATTGATTATGCACTTTTATGACAGGGATGGGGGGGTTGTTTTGAGATAGAGTCTCACTATGCATTTCAGGCTGGCCTTTGAACTCACTCTGTAGTCCAGGCTGACCTCCAACTTGCAGCGATCCTCCTAAGTCAGCCTCCTGAGTGCTGGGATTATAACTATGTGCCACCATACCTAGCCCATAATAGGGATTTTTTAAATGATCAAATCCATTGGTTTGGCTGGGCTTATCCTGTGTTTTGCCTCAGTGTTATGCCTTGTTATGCCTCAGTGTCCACTTCTTTTCTGTGTATACTGTCCAGGAAAGGTTATAAGTCCTTATAAGATGAAGCCACACTGCATCAAAAATCCAAAGTTACATAGTAAGTAATTCTGACAGGTTATGTTGTGGAAAACAGTATGTTTACCTGTCCCTTTTTTTCCAAGCAGTATTTTTACTCTAATAGTTTAATCATACACACTGAATACAAGTATTTCACACGCCACATCCCATTTCATTTCACAGACTTCTGTGAGGTTGATATTACCCGTGCTAATTAACAATCGCCAGTGGGAGGCGGAAGCATGATTTTAATCAAGGTCTAACTCTAAGGTCAGCACCCGATCTGCCACCTCTGCTGCCTTGCACTGTTTTTCACATATTCCCGTGATCTGTCTTGAGCTCCTCCTGTGTAGATCTCTAATAATGCTTCGTAGGAGAGACTGAGCACCTAGATGTTTTGTTCTGGTTAAATGTGAGATACAGTTTCCTGAAACAGAATGTGCACTGCTGAATCACATCTGTGTGTATCCTGGGGCAAATATTAGGTCTGTGATGATAAACCTTTTCGAGACCAAACTGCAACCCAAACCCCACATATTTATTCCAGAGTGCCAACACTGCAATTAAACCTGAATACTCAAGTTTGAGTTTAGAGAAAATATCGTCTAATGCTCTTGGCTGCCGGCATGATTTGGCTCATGTGCTGACAGAGTACGCATGCCATAAGTTAGTCACCATTGGCTTAGGTGAACATTTCTGTGATGTAAAATATAAAACAGGTCCAGTCAGAGGTGATCCACCTGCCATTGTGGCCTGACCTTCCGACTTCTTCAGCTGAAAATCGAGACTATTATTCAGTGCATTGATTTTCGCAAGGAGCAGTCGGTTAAAATAATGGCATTATGCTCAAAGTCTTTTTTTTTGTTTGTTTGTTTTTTCTCAAACTCTGCGCAGGAAAGCTTAGCTGTGGTTCTCCCAGGGCCCATCTGAATGGACTCATTGCAGAAGATGACGTGGGTCTCCTTGCCGCAGCTCTGCGGATTCAGGTTTGTTCAGCACAGCTTTGAGAATTTTGAATGGGGAGGTCAGACTAATTGTTGCTAACAGTTTGAAGTCTTTTCTCTTTACCATGTACAGTATTAGGCACTTCACACACCCACTGGCAAGCCCAGTGATAAATGGGGAATGAGACTCAAGTCATTTGTGTCAGTGGTTGCATGGCATGTATAGGAGAGGGCCCCAAACCAGGATCTGTGTTTTAATTATCTACTGCTGTGCAACACATTAACTCCTAAATGTAGCACCTTAGAGTAACACGCCTGCAGTAGCTCATAGTTTCTGTGAGGCAGAGACTCAGGAGCCCATTGGCTAGGTAGTTCTAGCTCAGGGCCGCTCCTGTGATTAAAATCAAGATGTTGTCTAGGGCTGCAGTCACACAGAGACTTGGCTGGAACAGGATGATGCACTCACCTGGCCAATGGTGTCCGACATTTAACTCCTCCCTGGCTATTGTCCAGATGCTCTGGTTCCTCACCCTGTGGATCTTGCCTGAGGCTCCTTGCAATGTGACGGCTAATTTCCCCAGAATGGGTGGTCGAGGTGGAGAGCTGCTGGGAGATTTGGCTTTCATGCTGACAGCGAGGGTTCTGCGTGCCTGCTGAGGCACGCATTCCGTGGCTTAGCCACCACTGGCTTAGGTGAACATTTCTGAGATGTAAAATATAAAACAGGCCCAATCAGAGCAGGAGGAGGCCCCCGAGTGTTTTATGGTGTATCTCTGATCAGACCTTGCCACTGCTTTTTTTTGTTATTTCTTAGAAATAAGTCAACACGTGTAGTTCATATTCAAATGAAAGAGAATTGTATTTACCTCCTAAAGACAAGATCTTAAAAATACTGGCAGACACGTTAGTGAAACACCATCATCTATGTGACATAAAGCCAAGGTCCCCTGCTTGTTACTATATTTGCTGAGGGTTCTAACAGTGCTGTTGCCTACAGTGGTGGTGTCTCTGGCAGTGACATCGATGAGTGATAGAGAAGCCAGAGGCTCCAGTTGCTTCCACTGCAGAATTAAATGGAAACAAGTTTTAATTCATTTCTTTTTTATGTACAAGGTATACACAAGATTTTTACATTACTGTATTTTAAATTACATTTCAAATACAGCCAAATTTTATTTCCATTTAATTTCTTCCTAATGTTTCATGTATATGTACGCATATAGATGATTACTTGGAATTCAACTTGCTTTTTCACTTCTACCAACAACAGAAAAATGGCATCTGAAGTTCATGTACATTTTGAAAATCGGGCATTCCAACTGATCATGAGTGTAGTCTCCTATTTTCCTCATTTTTCTTTTCCAGTTGAGATGAACAATTTTATCTGTATACTGGATGCCTTCCATGAACACAAGCTATTTTTTTTTTTTTTTTTTAAACTGGTGCCGGGGATCGAACTCACGACCACGCACTTGCAAGGCAGGCGCTTATGCCGCTGAGCTAAATCCCCAGGCCCAACACAAGCAATTTTAATGGTGCTTATAGCTCACATTTTTCTTCTCAAGCAAAACCTGCAAGCCTAATTACATGTGAATAAAATTATTGCTAATATTCTATTAGTTTATCACATGTGCCATGATCGTTTTTGCTCTGTAATGCCTGTGAGTGGTATCCCCACAGTTTTCACCTCTGTAACCTGTTTTCCTCACTTCCTCTTGAAGAACATGGTCAGCAGTGGACGGAGGTGGCTCCGAGAACAGCAGCACAGGAGGTGGAGACTTCACTGCCTGAAGCTGCAGCCTCTCTCCCCCGTGCCAAGGTAACCCTGGTGCTCCCATGTCAGCTCCCTGAGTGCCACAGATCGCCTGTTAGTCCCTGGGTGAGGGCATAACTCAAAAGTATTTTGGTTTTGGAAGGAGATAAGTCTTCTCTGAGCATCAGATTGTCACATGATTGTCTCATCATAAATCCTTTAAAATGAAATCATGGTGAACACATTTTGATATTCTATCAGTTCTAAGGTTTTTATTGTACTATTTAATTTTGTTTAAGTGACATGTCCATAAAGGGAAATGTGTTTTCTTAGTATTCACAAAGCAGTGGTTTTAGACTGGACAAAATATGGGAATACAGTATTTAGAATATGCTTTTTAGGGCTCAAAGCGCCCAGGACCCAGATGAGCTTGGTCTTAAGGGCAAGCAGGTCTCCACTCTGGAAGTAAATGGTCAGCTGAAGCAAATGTCACTCCTCCCAGGGACTGTGCTCAGCTTCAGAACTCTCTGATAGGATACTCTAGTAATCCAGATAGGTAATTTCTACACAGCAGCATTTAATGAGGTATAAGCTGCATATTCTTTGCATAAATTTAGAACCATGATCTGTAAGATGTAATCTCAATGTGTGATCTCGAACAGTTAGGTAGATGTGACCTGAGCCAGAGAAGTGCACTTTCCAGCCTCCTACTGAGTCCTCCCCTCTGCCCCACCACAGAGAATTGGCCCGGGCATCTTACAGGTGTACGCAGTGCCAGTGCCCATCTAGCAGTGCAGGGATGCTGAGAGTGAAGTAGATAAACCCTCCAGGAATTGACTGATTTGTCTCTTGATGACCCAGTGCTTTTTAGAATTGACCTCTATTCCTTGGGCAGTCAGGCATTCCGCTCTGGTTTGATTATGCCACCAGGCTGGGGCAGGTCTCCCTTGCAATAAACAGCTTTGTCTTGCTCTGCTGTGTTCTAATTAATACATAAATTTCAGGGAGGAATATTCTTTGTAACATCCCTATATTTGAGCAATTTGTTTGATAAACTATATAGTTTTTTTAAAGTTATTTATGTTAATGAACTTTAGTTTTTACCAGTAAATCAGTAAGTTGTACTTAGAGCTAAAAAAAATTTTAAAAAATTAGGATAGGTTGCACTAACTTCAGTACCAGAGACTTAAAATTCTACCTGGAAGCAATAAACTTATTAATTAAAAAGAAAAGAAAAGAAACTTGGGGAAAAAAACAAAAATTCTACTTGGGGAGGGATGTTTTATTGTTTAATCAAATTTCAGGAGCCACTAGGGAGAGAAAGAGGCAGGCTGACTAGTTCATGAATCACTCAAAAAATCAAAATGATGTCACTGTGACCCTTTAGCTGGCAACCAGAAAAGCTTAGATTCTCCCAAGATTTGGCTCTTGAGTAAAATGTGTAACTAGGAAAGCAAAATGAAATAGGATTCCAGCAAATAAAGGCAAATGAGCAGAGGATTAGAAGACACTGTGCCAGGTGGCCTAGAGAGGACCTGGTAGGGAGCCCTGAACTCAGCCCGCACAAAGTTTGAGGGGTGTCTGCCTCCCTTCTTCTCACTTCTCTGGTATCTTTTTGGGCAGTTGAAGTGCAGATGCTGTGTCTTCTTCATCAAGATCAGACCCTACTGCTGGGTGTGGTGGCTCACGCCTGTAATCCCAGCACTCGGGAGGCTGAGGCGGGAGGATCGTTGCAAATTTGAGACCAGCCTGGGCTACAAAGTGAGACCCCGTCTCAAAAAAGACAAAAAAGAGAAAAAAAATCAGACCCTACTGTTTCATAGAGGAGAGCATAGGGTCATAGTTGAGCTGAGCAGATCAACAGCAGTGGCAACAGAAAAATATCAGAGCCAGGGGAGCAGCTTGTCGTAGAGAGGGTGGGTGTCCTTTGCCCACCAGGAGACCCTCATGTCACCAGCTTGACAAGTCAGGGAATGGCTGTCCTCTCTAGTGTGTCCTGTAGAATGGTTCTTGGGTGCCAGTTCTCCTGTGCTCAAGGCTCTGGGCTAGCCTTGCTGCAGGGCATAACTACCTCCCCTGTCTTGCGTCATGGTCGTCTTGAGTGAAACTGAAGAGTCACATTAGATGCCCAGCCACACTCCAGAGTGCCTAAAATTCCCTTAACCTGAAGTTGAACGTCAGGCACTTGTACCAACAATGAAGTAATTAATAAAATATTTTTGAAACATAATTTTGGATTAGAAATAGAAAGAGAAAGGGAAAGTATGGATGGAAAAAAACAAAGTAGTATTTCCACATTTTCTAGTAGCCCAGAGATACATGTAGCTAGCCCGCTAGGAGAGTATTGTACAGTAGCCCTCCTCTACTGCAGTTCGGTGCCTGCGCTATGTCTGACTCGCTTGAGGGAGGCCTTTGCACACATTGTAGCATACAGCTGTTTCCCTGTGGCACAGGGCCTATCTTGTGCCTGGACACAATTCTGGGATCTTGGTCAGTATTTTGGAGTCACATCTCTGAAAAACATGTATCACTTTCTCATGCATGTTAATTGTTAGCAGTTGTGCTTAGCTTAATAGCACCCTAGAGAGGGATGGGACCACAAAGCGATTGCAACCACTTAGTCACTGGCATGATGTGTGACTGTTTTTCACTCTTGCAACGACCACCTAAGCTGAGGAGACTTTGTCTCTTTTGTGTTTCTTTCCTCCTAGTGATATAGAAATTTCAAGAGCACAGACTCCAAAAGCTGTGGACATCCTTGCCAAAGAGATAGGATTGCTTGCAGATGAAATTGAAATCTATGGCAAAAGCAAAGCCAAAGTCCGTTTGTCCCTGCTGGAAAGGTTAAAGGATCAAGCAGACGGAAAATACGTCTTAGTTGCTGGGTAAGACTCTGTTCAAAAAACCTACTCTACCAAGGAGACATGTTTGTCAAGCTGCCTTCCATGTTTATTTCTGTCCTCACACCCCTGAAATACAGCCTGTTCTCAAATTTGACATTACTGTGTCTATTTTGCTTAGCATTCCTTTATTTAGCACAAGGTAAGTATTTTGTTTCTTATAGTACAGAGCAAATGAGCCTCCTCATGAAACACAGAGTGTCACAGGTTGCTAATGCAGGTCTTTATTTTCTATATGGTGTTGGGATCACCTTTGCACCTCTCTGGGTAAAAAAGACAAAATCAAAATAAGAATTGAAGGTACTTTGAACTGAGCAAGGGTTTTTTTGTTGTTGTTTTTGTGTTCTTTTAAAAAAGAATTTACAGATAATTGAGGAATTTACATGATCTTATTAATACCCTTGTTATTTCTTTTTTATATTTACACTGTGAAAGCTTATATCTTTTTTTTTTGCATTTCAAAACTAATATGGAGCTATTTTCATTGGTGTTGGTCATCTTACGAAAGATAGATATGTAGCTTTTATGAAAAGGAATGTTTGCATATTTTATCCCCTCTTAAAAAATGCTTTCCCTAGCTGAAATGATGATAGAAAACAGGGGATTTGAACTATTTATTCAATGTAACCCCAGGGAGCATCAAGAAACCATATAAATTCTTTCGTTGTCTCGAAATGTCATTGCACTGACTGTTGCCTGTGATATATGGGCCAAAGCTTGAGGCCCAAAACTCATTTGTTAGTCAGAGACATTTCTTGTAGCTGGATTTGACTCATAGTTAACTTTGTTTTTACATAATTATCAGTGTCAATGATTTTTTTTTCTGGTTATAAAAATAATACCATCTCCCTATATAAATATTCCAAAAAAAAAAAAATCAGCAAGAAAATAAAGCTTCTCAAATTTTATCGCCCAGAGAAAATCACTGCTCAGGTCGGGGGCCACAGTGACCCTGGGAGACTCTGAAAGGCGAATGGTACCTGGCAGACTGCTGTGCCTGCCATTTCACTGAGCACAGGGCACTGTGCGCTGCTCCGAGGGACAGATGTGGGACCATTCCTGTTTTCATGACTGCATAACAAATGTCCCAGTGCTCACATCCAAGAGTCTTCAGTGCATGGGTGTAGTAAAAATGCCTGAGATCCGTGGAATCATTTTCACATGTCTTCCCAGCACCTGTGGTCCATTGAGAAGCACTGCTGTGACTCGCAGCTGATAGGACAGCACATCTGTCATTCTTCAAGGGTTCCAAGGCATACAAATGACTTGAAAATGTGATAGGGATGTCATACTCTACTGACGGGCATTTAACTTGTTTCTAAGTTTTGGCCCTTATAAACAGTTCTAAGATTAAGGACCTGGGGCATGCATGTCTATGCATTTGTCCAATTGCCGCCTTAGCAAAAATCCCTAGAGGTGAATCCAGTACAGTGGTCCCTTGTGTCTGCCAGGGATTTGTTCTGGACCCTGCTGACACCAAATTGGTGATATTCAACTCTATACAATGGCACAGTGTTTTCATACATCCTTTTGTGTACTTTAATCATCCCTAGGTAACTTTTTAATACCTAGTACAATGGTAACACTGTGCAAATAGATGTTACACTGTATAATTTAGGGAATAATCATCAAAAAATACCTGATCATGTGCAATAGAGACATAATTTTTCTTTCAAATAATTTCTTGGAGCATTTCCATTGCCTCTGGCTTGAATCTTCCCCAAGCTTCCAAACTCAGTGCATGGGGGTCCCAACTTAAATGTTCACATAACTGAGCTGCCAGGGGACCCTACAACTGGCCCAACCTGCAGGCGTCCTCTGGGCATTGTCTCTGGAGATGTCCTATGCAGCAGGAAGGACATGGCTCCAGGTCTTGGACTTTGGATTCTTTGTCTAGTCATGATCGCTTTGTAAAAGTATACTTGATGCAGGTTTGTTTGCAATGAATGAACACACTTGGATCTTTACAAAACCTCTTACATATAGATTTTTTCCGCTTTAAGTGATCTTGGTAGATGAGTTTGTTGTTTCCTCGAGCTAAAAGTGGAGGATTTGGAACTGAGGGAGTAGCTCATTGGTAGAACACTTGCCTGGCATGCACGAAGCCCTGGGTTCAATCCTCAACACTGCTGTAAAACATTTTTTGTTTGTTTTGTTTAAGATCAGGATTTAAGGAAACTCAGGAGAATATGTTTGTTCTCTAATTGGAAAGGAAGACTGGTATAAGCAATTTTTTGTATAAATCTAGATATAGTTCAGCCCTGAGCTGGGAACACAGAATGGTACTGAAGATACGATTTTGTTACCAACTTCCCAACTTGAAGTAAAACCGTTTATGCCTGGCTGCCGGCCACAGGCCACATGCTCGGTGCTAGCTGGCGTGGCCCACTGGGACTTTCCCCACTGTCACTCAGACCCAGCACATCACTGGTCCGTGTTGCCCCGTGGCTGGCCAGAACATGGAGGACTGAGCTGAAGCCAGAGTGGCATGCTGTAAATAGAAATGAAGATTAGACCTGAGTTCTCCAGGACAAAATCAACACCAAAAGATCAGTAGTTCTTTTTCTGAAACTGTGTCGTAAGTTTCCTTTCTTAACAGAGTTTGAAGGAACAAAATCTAAGTGCTCTTCCTTTCAATTGCATTGAGAAATATGGCTGGGGGAGGTGGTACATATTTATAATCCCAGCTATTCTGAAAGCTTTGCAGAAGGATTATGAGTTCAAGGCAATCCTGGGCAATTTAGGAATATCCTGTGTTGGATGTTTCAAATTTTACAAAGGAGCTGGAGTTGTAACTAAGTAGCAAAGTGCATTTTCACATGGGGGAAGCCCTGGGTTCAGTCCCCAGGACTGAAAGGTACTGTGAACGTAAGATCTGTATGCATCCATAGCAGAGACAGATTTCTAGAAAATACACACTGTGTGTGTGCTCTCTAAGGGGAGAATAAGCTGGCTCCCCCAACACAGCAGACAATCGTAAACTGCCTTCACTATTTAATCTTTCACTAGCTAGATGATTGAGATCAGTTTAGAACATAAATGTTTTATTTATAAACTAAAATGGAAAGTAAATTTGACGTAAAAATTACCTCCCTGTTTTTACTTTTAGTCAGGTCAGTAGTTTGGGGAAAATGACATTATTGACAATTTCATGCACTTTTGGTATTTTTTCAAAAGTATAAGTGAACTCTTCATGAATGGAGAATTTTTTTGAATGTTTTTAAATGTTGAAAATAATATTGACTTCTGACATAAAGAAAGATTTTAAAAAAGAGAAAACTAAATCTCTCATTACTCGGAGTAATTTTTAAAAGCATTTTCTTCAACTATTTCTAAGATGACAATATATAATCCATTAACTAGTGATTTCCTAGTGTTTATTTTTTTCTGTAAATCTGTATAACTTGTACCCTTTTTCTGCTTTTTTTGCTTTTTCTCCTTAAATAAAATTTAAAAAAATAAAAAAACATTTTCTTCCAGAATTTTATCTCTACATCCATCCTTTTTACGCCTTAAGCTTGTGCTGTACCACTTTGTGTCCTGCCTTTTTCTCCAAACCCTATAACATAAATAAATCTTTTCCCATGCTTTAGGAATTTAGATACCCAAGAAATTTTTCAATAAACCCAAATCACAATACATTTGTGATTTACACATTGAACTTATACATAAAAGCAATTTAAGTTTTTCAACAATGGGATTAAATGTAAAAGAATGGGATTTTTTTAAAGAAAAAACTTTTATTATTAATATCTCAAATGCAGAACAGATTAATTCTTTTTAAAAAGCCATTCTTCAAACTTTAGGCTTTCTTATTCAGTCAGAATCATCTGTGTTTCATCAGCTACACATCGCATGGTATTTACACCTACACATCACTTTATTTGCTTTGCCTGACAAAATGAAAAGTATTGGGAATTGTTCAGGGAAATATGCCAAAAGAATCTTTGGGGCTCTTGAGTTTTACATATTTTCCCAGTTACACTAATGAAAAGGAATTTTGTTTGAGAGCTTGACTCTGAGTGCAGCTGCAGGGCATTTGAATGTGCTCTCAGTCTCTATTAGGCCTTCACTGATTCCCATGCAGAAGGTTCTAGAATTTCTCTGAATTGCTTAGGCAGAGCAATTGAAAAAGAAGCCTAACCTGGTCTGTGACTAGACTGGATTTCATGTTAAAGAAAAAGTACGATCATTCATGTCACTTTATTTTTTTTTTTTTTCCACAGAGTGCCAAATACCTGATTTTTAAAAAAATGCTCTCCCCATTATTTTGGTGGAACATTATTAGTACAGCTGTCACTGAGTTTTCTAACATTTTTCCTCTCTACCTTACATAACTATTTAAATGTATATTTTTATTTATACTACTTGTAGAATAGAACAAAGGTATTTAGAAGGAACCTGGCAGGGCATTTGAGCTATTTATCTTGCTTAATGGTAATGAGAAACACAACCAAATGAACTATAGCATTTATTGTTAGATAACAAAAGGCTTTTTAAAGCCTTCCAAGTCATAAAGATGCCTGCAGTGGATGATATATATTCACACATTGTTTGATCATAGTTTTGGAGCTCATGGTTAGGCCATGGCTGATACCAGTAATACCAATCAACAAGAATCAAAATGTTACCAGTTGTCTCTGTTTAAGCAGTCTCTTTGACCTTTAAGTAATTAATAAAATTCTTTCAGATTGTGTTCAAATTGTCACGGAGCACTTTGATATCACGGAGCATTTTCACTATAGTTGACAGTAAATAATGTTTATCTAGGAAAAGGCATCATTTGGGGTTTGGGGTTTTTTTTGTGTTTTTGTTTGTTCATTAGTTTTGTCTGTTCTTGAATAGAGTACAGGAGTTCAAGAAGGGTGGGCATTGACCTTCACCCCAGCAAGCTTGTGGCCAGAAGACACCCCAGACATGGCAGAAACATTCTTATGGTGACTTCTTCTTAAGTCCTATAAAGATCACAAAATAAATGCAGTAGGGTGGGTGTCAGAAAGGGAGCCCATACATGTGCTTAGACTGTGAGGAAGTTAATAAACAAAAATCACAAATACCTTCCCATAGCTAAGCTTTCATAGGAGCAGAAAGGAATTAAAATTAATTGTGCTGCTTGCTTTTGAAGTCAACTTGATTTAGACTCGAGTTAAGGATACTGGGGAAAGATTTAAACCAAATTTTGATATCAAATGCAAGGATGAGGTGAAATAAATGCTTTTATTGAAGCTCTCCTTTTATAGTTCCCAATAAATACTTCCTCCTTTCCGATTTTCCTAAATTGTATTCATTGGCAGTGAGCTGAGCGGTCCTGTGTTTCTAATTAAGAATTGGATGGCTTGCTATAGTGCTGTGGAGGTCACCGCAGGGCGTGGCTGCTGAGCTAGCTTGTCCTTGGGAATGAAAATGTAATCGTGTATCTGACACCACTGTTCCTTTGCAAACAATACATTCTCACTGGGGTACTGAAACTATACTGTGTGTGATACCATATCTTCTTTCATGAGATTCTGATGCTTGTGGATTTTCAACTGCTTTTGTTTGTGCTTCATCTAAAAATGTAGAACATTGACTCAAGGCGCAAACATCTTTGCATAACTTTGCATCTTCTGTTGACCCTTGCTCTGTAAGGTGCTATGCAGTCAGTTGCAGAGGGGACTGATGATAAGCCACTGCTCTGTGACTGTGGAGTGAGAGTTTCATTTCACCAAGCACTGTGCAGGACGGTTCAGCACACACGCCTACTGCAGAGACACCAGCGACCTGGGCACTAGTACACCCTTCTTGGCCCCTCCTTGGTCCTCACCTGCTTCAGACCTCAGTGCCCTGTGACTCCCGTCATCTCTAAGCCATCCCAGTGCTTTCCTCATTGGCCTCTTCCTGAGCTGCCCTGCCACCCTCTGCCTCCTCTGTTGTTCTTTTCCTGTACACTGCTCCTTTCAGCTCCCTTTTGTTCTCTTCTGAATGCTTATGCCTGTAATCCTAGGCACTCAGGAGGCTGAGGCCGGAGGATCGAAAGTTCTAGGCCAGCCTGGGCAATTTAACAAGGCCTCATCTCAAAATAAAAGGGGACAGGAATGTAACTTAGTGTGGAGGCCCCTGATTTCTATTGCCAGTACTGCATGTACAAGAAAAATGAAAGAAAGAAAGATAGAAAGAAAGAGAAAATCCACTTAACTATTCTGACCTTACCTCTTTCCTGTGTTCACTCTCTAGAGGATCTTACACATTCCGTGCCTCAAATTGCTAATTGTAGTTACCATTCCAACTGCATAAATAACTTAGTGAAATCAGGAAGTTGGATGACTTGCCTCTGTTTCGTGCCCAGCTCTACCGCATACTAGTTGGGACAAGTTACTCAAATTCTTTGTGTCTCTATTTCCTCATTTATCAAATGAAGATACAGATAATTAGCCCAAATAAATACAAAGCACTGTGCCCTGCCTTTTCACTACCCCAAGCCCACTCTCAGTTTTAGCTGGGTAACATTTATTCATTTGTGAGGTCTCTGTTTAGATGTTACTTCCTGTGAGAAACCTTCCCTGGTGTTCAAAATTTAGTTAGATCTTACTTTGATGTGCTCTATGAACAACCTAATTGCCTTACATCTGTATCTTGGTGTTTCTCTCCTTGCTGAGTTACCTGTATCTCCCATTAGCCAGAAGCCCTGGGAGGACAGAGATGAAATCTGATTTCTTCATCATTGTGACCCAGGGTCTAACTCCCAGGGTCTGACTCCTGGAAGTACTCAAACATTTGCTGCATGAATAATTGATTGTGTATGGGGGAGGGGTCTGAGAGAGTTGGGGATGAGGAAGATAGAAGGGTGTTATTACTTCCTGTTTGTGTTTATATCACTAGGTTTTATAGGTCAGAAAAATCCTATTATCAGATCTAGTGGGGTTGAATATCCTAGACATCCTGACTCATTTGATGTAACTCAGAAAATCAATTATAAGCCCACATGACAGTACTTTCAAATTTTTAGTGATTTTTATAAAATGCTAAATAATAGTTTTATGAGTCTTTACTTGAGAGTATAATAAGTTCCTTTCCTGTCACTTAATACCCCGATGATGCTGTGAACATGAATATCTTTGTAGGGTGCCATCAAAATAAGCTTTCCAGAGCAAGGGATTCCCCTTAGTGTGATGTTTGAAGGGCTGTCATATGAAAAGGGTGCAAGCTTAGTGTGCAGGACTCCACAAGCAAGGAAGCGACAGGAGCATAACTGTCTCTCTTTGAGAACAAAGAAGCTTCTAGCTGTGAATGTTGGGTCACCCTGGAGGTTATAGGTTTCTGTCATTGTCTGTGTGCAGTATGATGGGGCCAAGTTCTAGGCCCAGACGCCAGGAAAGATGGATGAGTAGGGCCTTCAGGTCCTTACTGATCCTGAGAATCTGACCCTGTGTCACTCAGGGACCCTTAAGCTAGGTTCTGTGCCCCTAATCTCTCTCGAAGGAAGAATGCCAAGTGGCCCACCAGATGAAAACACTAGCTTAGTTATTGAAGCCACTTTTATGCATGTTTTATGTCATTTCTTGAAATAGATAATGTTACCAGCACCAGTGCTCAGTCCTTTTCCTTTTTGATCTCTTGGTTTTATCTCTTTTTTGTGGGTCTCTGTCTTGAGTTTAGCTTAAACATGGCTTGAGAGATAAGGATAGATTGTAGTGGTCCAAGAAACTGCATTATTGAGTGGATTTGGAAATGGCTTATTCTCTGCCAAATCTCTATCCTTATTAGATTCTGGTATCCTAGGCTGGTTTTGCATAGGTTGTCTTGGAAATATGATTAAATTTATTTCTCCCCTCTCCCACAAATCAGGATCACACCCACCCCACTTGGAGAAGGAAAGAGCACAGTCACCATCGGGCTGGTGCAAGCTCTGACTGCCCACCTGCACGTCAACTCCTTCGCCTGCCTAAGGCAGCCTTCCCAGGGGCCGACTTTTGGAGTAAAAGGTACTTTGTTTAGCCATCAATACATTTTTCAAAGCAAAATTGGCAGAGAGCAGCAGGGAGTTCTGAGAATACCATCTACAGTTAAAACTTTTCAGAAGAACTGGTGCACTTCATCTCTGCACACACACACACCACACATTACATACTCAGTATGTGGTGGTCACCCCAAGTTGATCCTCCAGGCACAAAGATAGCAGAGAAGCTGCAGGGTGGGGGGTCTTCAGTGCAGACCCATTCTGTGGACTCAGTTGCTCAGGCCTCCTGCCTGAGGCAGAGTCTTATATCTCTTTCGTGCCTCCCCTGCCAAGCATTTTGAAACAGTGTCGCTCATGTGGGTGTTTTATCTTCCTGGCCGATGGGAAAGATCTGTCCCTCTGAGAGGACCTGGAGGTCGGCCCCCAGCACTCACCCGTGGGAGTCTCTGTGTGGGGCCTAGGGTGCTCTGGAGACAACCCGGCTGTGTGCAGAGTGGGATGAGATTTCTCCTTGGCCGCGGCTGGGCTGATGTCTGGCAGATTCCCATTCATTACTCCTCCTTCATTTATTTATCATGAAATCACCCCTGAGCTCACTGACACTGGCACTTATTACTGTGTGTTCTTTGCAGTTTGTATTTTTTAACCGTATTATATTTACATTATTGTTATAAATATTAATGACTTCTAACTCATTAAGTACTGATAACACACAAAAGATTATGCATTATCTAGTGGAATGAGCATTAGACTTGGAGTGAGAAGGCTGAGATGCTCCTACTGCTGTGTGACCTGTAGCCAGCCATAGCCTCTCTGAGCCACATCTATGAAAGAGATAAAGCCTAAACTACCAGGCTCAACTGAGATAGCATAGAAAGAATATGGTGAACTACAAAATAATGTGGATGAGATGGGTCTTTTTCACATAATAACTAAAATTTTGAGAGAGAAGCAGCACAATAAATCTTCCCTAGTGTTAGCTAAAATAAATCGGTAAAGTTCTTAATTTATGGTTCAGAGGTTTTTGTAGGTTTTTTTTTTAAACAAAGGATTTTGATACTTCGATGTATGTATGATCTAATAAAACATAGCCACATGGATCCACTGATAAATTTATAAAATGTTCTTATGCCCTGAAGTCTGTTTTACAGTAATGATATTTGCTATATTGTTTTTGCCTTTTTTTTTTTAAGTAACGGAATGGAAATCCTTAAATTGCACAGGAGGATGTAGCGTGAGCTTTGGTTTGTTTTCTGTTCTACTTTGACGAGCTAGCTAATGTTTCTTGCTCCATTTATTTTACTTCCCTTTTGGGTTTGGGAAGCTGTGTCCTAGAGTTCTGCATGTCCTGTGTATCTGTACTTGATGACTCATTTCAAATGCCACTTGCTCTGTTGTTTAGGAGGAGCTGCAGGTGGCGGATATGCCCAGGTCATCCCCATGGAAGAGGTAAGGCCACAAGGGACACGTGCTTCGCTGTGCCTCCCTCCCAGCATCTTTGTCCCTGCCCCAGAAAGACAGCCCCAAATCTCGTGGCCCCAGTGAGTCAAAAAACCAAAGCATCTGCACAACTCTGCAATGGCAAAACTTGGTGACTTTTGGGAACTGTGTATAGATTTTGTATGTACTATTTGGTGTGAATATTCGTATATTTTACTGAGCACTCATAAATTTTTCTATGAATGCTATAAGTGAATCTTATATATGTACTGATGCAGCCACTGGTCAGTGTTCTATAAGTAAGTTATATATACTCATATTACCTTTCTGAATTATAAAAAAATTCTGTATCTTAAAACCCTTGTGGATTTGAGGGCTCCATGAGAAGCAAGAGAATGTTGATGGCCTCTTAGTCAATCATCTGCTGTGCTCCCAAATTTAGGGAGTCTTAGATACTTCGTATCTATAAGTAAGACTCCAAATGAGGGCTGGCAGTGTAGCTTAGCAGTGTAGAGAACCTCCTTAGCATGCCTAAGACCCTGAGTTCAGTTGCTAGCACTGCAAGGACAAAACAAGACTGAAATAAAACGGTTCCAGAAAGTGGACAAAAAGAGCCAGTAGTATCAATTCTCAATTCTCTAAGAATTTTTTGTTTTCATCCTACACAGGCTCTCCCTTGTCCTGGTATCTAACCATTGACCAGTTCTCACCTATTCTGCTCTCTGTGTCAGCAGTGTGGTCAGGTCTAATCCTTTGTCTGAGATCCATCGATCTCCATGGCACCGGAAGCCCAGTGGGCCCCTGCTTCTGCTTCATTTCTGCATGTTTCCCTCTGTACCGAGTTCCTTACAGACTCCTGTGCTGCTTTTTCTCTTATTGTTACTCTATTCTAGTTAGTTCGTTGGTTAATTGAAGAATGCAGGGGATTGAACCTAGGGCCTTGTGAATGCTGAGCACACGTTCCCCAGCCACTTATCTTCTCAATTCCATGAGTTTCCTACATCTAGAACGTCTTTCCCATCCCTTTCTGCCCTCACTACCTAGTTTACCTTTTGTTCTCAAGGTTCTGTTTCATCCCATAAATTCTCCCTCATATTGTAGATTTCTGGCCATCAGATTCAATCTCTTATGGTATTTTAGAGACCTCTGTTAAACTTCCAGGTCCCAGCACTAAGCAGGTTGCAGACACAGAGTGACTGCTCAGTAAGAAAGATCTGTTGACATTGTTGAAGGAGTTGGAGAAGTGGTCACTCCTGGAGGCCTGAGGGTCAGGGTGCTAAATGAGAAACTTGAGATAAACCTTTAGGGGTGAGAAAAAGTGGTCCACAGGCCTGCTGAGAACAGCATAATCCTCACATCTGTAGGGAGATGATGAATCCCATTTACAAGCCAGAAGGGTACAGAACCCAAGGCCAGACAGGGGACAGAGTACAAGGGGCATGCCCAGGGAGCTGCTCTCAATGTAGCCAGCAAATAAGGAATGCACAGTGTGGTGTCCCTCTAGTTTAGGACATCTGCTGCATGACTTGGAGTACACAGGCTGAGAGATTGTCCCGCGAAGCTGGACACCTCACGGTCTCTTTCTTCTCTCTGTCCCCAACTCTGAGCTCAGTGCCCAAAACTGAGTGGGTGTTTGTTGACTGAGTGTCATGCATAGACATGTGTACTGGAAGAAACTTCAAAAGTAGTCATGGGGGAACTGTTAGAATAAATTCCAGATGGACTGACGAATTGGAAGTAAAAATACAAAGACTTGAAAGATAAGGACCCGGCCTTGTGAAGAATGAGAGAAGCTGTTCAAGGCAGTGGGACCTCTGATGGGCAAGCCCTGAGCCCAGGGAGGGCAGCCTGCCCAGAGGACTGGAGAGCACCAGTGTGGCCAGGGCCCAGCGGTCAGGATGAGTAGAGAGAGATGAGCTGGATTTCAAGGGCCATAGTTATCCTTTGCAGGGATCATGACCAAGACAGGGACAGTGCAGATTAGATTTTCAAAACAAATCACTCTGGTCTCTGTGTGAAAAGTAGACAGATGGAGGCCTAATACAGATATTAGGCATCTGGGGAAGAGGCTGTTGGGGAAGGGAGAGGTGTAGGGTTGAACCGTGGGGGGGGGGCATGGAGTGAAGCATTGAGATCCCAATGGAAGAGTCCCTCGGGACTCCGGGAGACCTGTGAGATGCCCAAGAGAATATAAAGTACTAGGTAACTGGAAATAAAGACTCGAATTCCAGTTGTAAAATGGTCAAAGGGTTCAAAATCAGAGAAGACATAGTGGCTACCCAAAAATGCTTGTCTTACTAATCACCAAAGAGATCTACGTTAAAACCACAGTCAGTTACCATTTTACTTGTCAAATTGACAGATTGGGATTTTTATAAATAGTAATAATACCAAATTTTGGCAGAGGTAGACTAAAATACCGTTATCAGGTACTGAAGAATTTTGGAAATACATGTCAGTTGTCTTAAAATCATTGATGTTCTCTGGCCCATATGAGTTTATTTTTAGTTTTATCCCAAGGAAGAATTGGAGGTGCATGTATAGATTTAACTTTAAAATAGTATATTTATACAGTAGCTTTAATAAATTAGGAAGACCTTTAATAAGAGGATATGAAATCAGCAGCAGTTTGAAAATTATTGCATAAAATGCTTGTCATGTTAACATGCAGTGTAAAAGATAGTCTGTTGTAGTGCTATAGTGAATAGACTCTGCTAATGTTGAAAATTAAAAATCTTTTTTTGAGATAAAGTCTCACTGTGCAGCCCAGGTTGGCCTCAGACTTTCAGTTATAATCATGCTTCGGCCTCCGAAGTGCTAGGCTTACAGACGTGCATCACCTCACCTGGCTAAACTTTATTTTTTTTCTGTAATAGGGCTGGAACCCACGGCCTTGGGCATGCTAGACAAGTGCCCTACCATTAAGCTAAAAACCTATTTTATAAGATTTTATGTACATCCATATGCAATTTTTCATTGCTTCTCAGCCTTTTGGCTAAGATCAAGTGTAACTTATGCAATTTTTTATATTTTACCTACTGAATATATTTTTATCTGTTACAAAATTATTTTGGGAAATTAAGTGCATGCATATAATGTATCTTGATCATTTCTAGTCCTATAACTCTTTTCTCCTTCTCTTGCTCCTCCAATCCCACTTCCTATCTCCAAAATTTTAGCTTCTAGTTTGCTGTTATCCATATTTTATTTTATTAGGTTTCTCATATAAGAGAAACAAGGATATTTAACTTTTTGAGTCTGTGTTGTTTTATGTAACACAATGATCTTCGCTTCTATCCATTTCCTGCAGATGACACAATTCTATTCTTTTTTTTTTTTCTTTTTTTTGGTACTGGGAATCAAACTCAGGACCTCGCACTTGCCAGGCAGGTGCATATGCCGCTGAGCTAAATCCCTAGATACAATAATTCCATTCTTTATCTAAATTATATTCCATTGTGAATATCATATTTTAATTATCTATTCATCCATTAATGGGCATCTACACTGATTCCACTGCTTAGCTATTGTAGTTTTCACTGCTGTAAACATAGGAATGCATATACAGTATTAATTATAGTGTAATATCTTTAGTATTTTTTTGCAAATATACTCTGAAGTGATATAGCTGGATCAAATTGTAGTTCTAGTTCTAGTTTTTTGAGGTCTCCATACTGATCATCAGTTGGCTATACTGGTTTACACTCTCACTAACAGTGTAGAACAATTCGTTTTTCCCTACATCTTTGTCAGTGTTTATTGTTATTTTGTATTCTTGATGACAGCCATTCTGAATGGGGTGAGATGGAGTATCAGAGTGATTTTGATTTGTATTTCCCTAATGATTAAAGGTCTGAAATTTTTTTACATGTGCTTATTGACTATTTATACTTCTTTGTGATAAGTATCTATCCAGTTCATTTACCCACTTTAGATTGGGTTGTTTGGGAGGGTTATTTTATTTATTTACTTTCTTTAAATATTCTAGATATAAATATCCCTATCAGAAGAGCAGTGAGCAAAGGTTTTCTCCTGTTCAGAGGTTTTTCTCTTCATTTGTTTCTTTTGCTGTGCAGAAGCTTTTAAATTTGATATAGTCTGTAATTGTCATCGTAGGTCTTTTACCTCCTTGATTCCTATTTATTTTGTAAGGTATTTTGAATAAAATTGTGTTCCTGATTTCTTTTTTAGTGGGCTCATTATTGGTGCCCAGAACTGGTGTTGATTTTTATAACCTGCCACTTGGCTAAATTTGTTTCTAAGAGTCTTTTGGAGGAGTTTTTGGATATAGAATCATATTATCCACAAATAGTGATGATTTATTTGTTTTCCTATTTGTACCTCTTATTTTTTTCTCCTGTGTGATTGCACTGGCTAAAATTTCAAGTACTATACTGAGCAGGAGTGATGAGAATGGACACCGTAGTCTCATTCTTGATTTCAGAGGAAGTGCTTTCAGTTTTTATTCTTTCATAAGATGTTAGTGGTGAGTTTTTCACATGCGGCTTTTTCAGCTCAAGAAAAGATTCTTAGATACCTATTTACTTCAGGGTTTTCATCACAAAAGAGATGTTGGATTTCATTAAAGGCCTCTTCATCTCATGAGTTATATCCTTGATTCTGTTTGTGTGATATGTTACAGTTATTTATGTTTGTGTATTGAACCATCCTTGTGTCCCTGGGATGAAACCAACTTGGTTAGAGTGTATGATTTTTTTTAATGTGTTGTTAAATTCTGTTTGCAAAAAGCATTTTTTCAAATCTCTATACATTAGGAATATTGGTTTGTAGTTTCCATTGTTGTTTTCACTGTTACTTTGTTTTGGTATCAAGTAATGCTTGCTTTATAGAGTGAACTTGGAAGCATTCTTTTTTTTTCTAATAGGGATGACTCTGAGAAGCCTTGGTATTCTTGTTTAAAACCTGGTAAAACTCAGAATCCACCGAGCCTTGTAGTTTTCTTATTTGGTAGTTTTTATCTTTTTGGCTTAATTTTGGGAGCTCATATG